AAAACCCCTCTAAAAATTACCCTAGGCCAGTCCTGCAAGCTGGAATAACCAAGTCTTAAGGGCGCGGCGGAAGGAAGGGAGATCAGGGATAACCCTGATCTCTGGGGGCAGTTCATTCCAGAGGGTGGGAGCTCCCACAGAGAAGGCCCTCCCCCTTGGGGTCGCCAGCCGGCACTGTCTGGCCGACGGCACCCTGAGGGGGCCCACTCTGTGGGAGCGTACAGGTCGATGGGAGGTAATCTGCGGCAGGAGGCGGTCTCGAAGGTATCCAGGTCCGATGCCATGGAGCGCTTTAAAGATGATAGTCAACACCTTGAAGCGCACCCGGAAGGCCACAGGCAGCCAATGCAGCTCGCGCAGCAGCGGTGTCACATGGGAGTGTCGAGTCCCTCCCAACACCGCCCGCGCGGCCGCATTTTGGACCAGCTGGAGCCTCCGGGTGCTCCTCAAGGGGAACCCCATGTAGAGAGCATTACAGTAGTCCAGGCGGGAGGTGACAAGGGCATGAGTGACCATGCGTAGGGCGTCCCGGTCCAGAAAAGGTCGCAACTGGTGAATCAGGCGAACCTGATAGAACGCCCCCCTGGTCATGGCCGCCAACTGATCATCCAGTGTCAGCCGCGAATCCAGGAGGACACCCAAGTTGCGTACCCGATCTGAGGGAACCAATGTTTCGCCCCCTATAGTCAGCGATGGAATCAGCTGACTATGCCGAGGCGCCGGTAACCACAGCCACTCGGTCTTGGATGGGTTGAGCCTGAGTCTGTTCCTCCCCATCCAGACCCTCACGGCCTCCAGACACCAGGTCATCACATCAAGGGCATCGTTGGGGTGGCCCGGGGTGGATATGTACAACTGAGTATCATCAGCGTACTGATGGAAATCCACCCCGAAGCCACGAATGATCTCCCCCAGCGGCTTCACATAAATATTGAACAGGAGCGGAGAGAGGACCGACCCCTGTGGGACCCCACAAGTTAGGGGCCTTGGGATCGACCTCTGACCCCTGCCAATACAGACTGCATACGGTCGGTGAGGAAGGAGGAGAACCACCGCATCACAGTGCCTCCCACTCCCAACCCACCCAACCGCCGCAGCATGATACTGTGGTCCACAGTATCAAAAGCCGCTGAGAGGTCCAAAAGAACTAGGACAGAGGAACAACCCCTGTCCCGGGCCCTCCAGAGATCATTCACCAACGTGACCAATGCCGTTTCCGTGCTGTATCCCGGCCTGAAGCCCGACTGGAGAGGGTCTAGATAGACCGTTTCCTCCAGGTGCCGGGGAAACTGCTGTGCAACCACACTCTCAACAACCTTCGCCACAAAGCGTAGGTTGGAGACTGGGCGATAGTTTTCCAATACATCTGGATCCAGGGATGGCTTCTTAAGGAGGGGCCTCACCACCGCCTCCTTTAGGACCGCGGGGAAGGCACCCTCCCGTAAAGAAGCGTTTGTAATTCCCTGGAGCCAGGCTTGTGTACCCTCCCGAGCCGCCAGTACCAACCAGGAGGGACACGGATCCAATAAACATGTGGTTGCATTCAGTCTCCCCAGGATCCTGTCCACGTCCTCGGGAGCCACAGAGTCAAACTCCTCCCATACAATAGTCTCAAGACCTGCCCTCGCCTCCTCCCCCGGGGCCACCCAGTCGGAGTCCAAACCCTCTCGGATCCGAGCGACTTTGTCATACAGATATTGTGCAAATTCCTCAGCCTTCCCCGCCAGGGGGTCCCCGCCCCCCCTCAATTGAAGGAGGGAGCGGGTCACCCTGAAGAGGGAGGCCGGGCGGTTATCTGATGACGCA